AATGAACGATTTCAAAGCACATGTTTGAGCAAACACTGAGAACTGGAAAGGCGTGATTCGAAAAAGTGGCCCGTTGCCCTAATGATCTCAACAATAACACGGCATGAACTTGCTGCGGTTTTGTACAAACAACGACTCTCTGTTATGAACTTCCTTTTCGTGCATCGGCGCATTCATCAGTACACCTGGTACCAGGAAGCTTGTGCACCGAAGTCGATGATCGATTTGATAATCGCATCTTCTGACTTAAGATGCTCAGTAATGATATTCAGGTAGGAGAGGCGCAGAACTGTCAACCGATCAACACATGGTGCTGGTATCCTCTGTTGTAAACAGTGATCTAGAGGCAGAAGCAACCAGAGAATCAAGTGGGAAGCACTGACTGCTGCAGATACGAGGGCGAAAGTCACAAACAACATCGCATAATGGACTGAACTAATTTCAGAGATGACGGCTGACGTTGAAACGTGATTGAAGGTCTTTAATAGCGGCATACTCCTGGCTGCTGCCAGCTGTCGCGGTTGCCTGCCGCCTGGAGGTCAGATTCGAACGTCGTGGTGGACACGAGAGGTTCCACTGACTGTCAGTGAAAAGAAGGCTGTATTCAAGAAATGGCTTACAAACAAAATGCCTCGAACTCGGATGCACCACGAAGCAGCGAGCAATGGGGCAATGAAAGCAGTGGCCAACGCGAAACTTGACTACTGGGAAAAGACCGGAGTCGAATTTCCAGACGGCAAATGAATTTTCCTGACAGATCATCCGCCGCCTCAGAGATTTAAACAGCGCAGTCTAAGAGTCCTGGGTAACATCTGAAGATGATGACATACTTTGATGATGGAAAGAATACTTTGAGGAATACTTCCTTATACCGGATCAGCCGCAGGAAGACTCGTCCGAAGAGTAGTAAGCAACGGATATCGGTCTTTCAGCTGAAGAAGTCACAGAAGCCGTAAGTAGTTCTAGAAGTGGCGAGACTGCTGCAATCAATGAAATGCGCCCTGGCGCGCTTAAAGCTTAATATGTGCGAGGTTTTCGTACCTGGCAACGTGTCTGTGACACTGCGACAACTATGGGAAAGACGTTGGCGGACTGGAGAACGGGGTCGTCGGTCGTCGTGCCCATGTTCAAAATGGAAGACCACAGGGAGTGCTTCAATAATTGGGGTATTTTTCTTTTGAACCTCCCGGGTAAAGTCCACACAAAGGTGCTAGGGAGCATGTTCAGCGGTATAATTGACTCCAAGATAGAAGAAAGCACTATGCTGCGCTTGCAGATAAAAGGGTAAGGCGTTGGAACAGGTTGAGAAGTTGCCACACGTCAGAGTTGTGTTTATTTGTGATGGATCGACTGGCGAATTGGAATTGCCATCCGCGTTCTACGCAAACTAGCCCCAAGCGTTCTGAC